CTGCCTATGTATGAAAACATTATTTTTTTCGTCTCAAAACGTTTCCAAATGCTCAAAAATGTTTGCACTATTCATTCCAAATCGATTGAGTTTTAAAAATAATTGATAAGCAATCGAAAAATGTAAAATAATTACAGCTATCTCAGAAAAAAGCATCATTCATCCTTTTATGATATTTTACTACCACAAAATGATCGAGTGTCAAACAGCCATATATACAGTTCGATGCAGTTTTTCATGCTCTACCTGAATATTACCTCAAAATTAACAAAACCAATGTACTATGCCATCAAAATTGAGGAATATCACCAGGAAATGCCGAAAATTTGTATCATATCACTCCGAAGCGGTTTTGAAGGGTAGGTGTTCGGTGAATAAAAATAGCATATTCGGATTCAGCGTGATCAGTTACCCCCATCCCCGTTGATATCTCAACAGGGTACCTCTGACGGTAAGCCAAAAAAATTTTGGCAAAATTCAATGGAAAAACAGCGTAACAGAACAGAAAAAAAATCAACTGCTGACGGGGAACTAATCCTGGAGAAAGCTAACCTAAACGTTTTTAGGAAGGCTTGGCTCCAGGGTGAATTTCCCCTGAAAGGTCTCAGACGTTCCAAAAGATTCGTTGAGAATACTTCCATATTGAAAAAAGTTGTGTCCTGGCTTAGGTCAGTTCCTTGCTCGACCTCTATACCCTTCTTCGAGATGGAAGATGTTCAACTTCTCCAAGATTATCCTGAAACCTTCTAGTCATGATTCTTGTATGATCAATAATCTACGCACGTTGACATGAACTTGTCTTTCTTCGTTGTTTGTTCGTGCTCTCTTTTGTCTTTTGCTATGTTTGTTCGTTTTCTGCTTCTCTATACTTCCTTTTTCTAGTGTCTTGTTGCGTGCTCTTCCTTCTAAGTTGGTTTTCTCTGTCTGTGTTACCTATTTCTTTCTTCATTCATCATACTTTGTATTGTAAGGATCTTTCTGATCGCAGTTAGAGCATAATAAAAAAAAAAAAAATCAACTGCTTCGCACCAGATTCGAACCAGCGTAGCGTTATTCACGCTCTTGGCCACTCAGCTATATGCGAATTATTCTTTTCTATTCTTTCTCGCACGTCGTTCTTATTTTTTATTATAATTAATTATATTGAGTGAATATTCAAATACAATATCATCAACTACATATTATCATTAGATAACATGCTTACAACTAATACCTATTTATTTAACTTACTGAACTTGTTTAAAAGCTTTATTTTTTGTCTTTTTATAGCAAGAAAAAAAGGTCCATACAAGAATTATTAACAGTAATTATAGAATTTTTTTCGTGTTGTTTCTTTTTTTTTCTTCAAAAAAACAAACAAAAGCTAATAGGAAAAACAAGGGGCCATGGAATGTTAATTTCATATGAATTGAATAAAAGATTCTAGTGTATAAACAGGATACAAAGCACAATGAATTGTCAACATGTAAGAGAATCAGCATCTATACTTTCTAGAATGATGAAACAATCAATTTTTCTAGAAGAAAAATAGAAGTCTTAAGGAGAACGTCTCTTTTACTTCCATCTAGAAAAAAAAAGAACTTCTTCATCAATCAGATTTTTATAAGAACTTTTTTCATCAGTCATGTATTACATAAACAGATGAAGTTATTTTAATTTAATTTGCACTTAATATTTCTAAAAGAAACCATCACACATCAGAACAAAATCAGATACTGCACGTATTCGTTGTATTTTTTAAATAAGAATCTGTTTATTTCACACTGAAGCCCATCACCTTCAATTATATTACAAAAAAAATGTGTTCATTTGATTTTTATATCCGAACATTTATATTTTAATTGGTTCACGTGGTAACATTTCTTTCTGGTTGTCTATCATCGACCAACATACGCTTTGATCGAAAGATAAAAAGATTATTGTCGAAAATGAGTAACTCAAGCAATAGTTTATAAATTTGTCCGTCTTGAAAGCTGTATTAATATGAAGCAAATCGACTCAAAGAAAAATAAAAAAATTCATTAAATTTTTGACGATATTTCAAGATAATATGAATATTGTTTAAAGAGTTTAATTTTTTTGATAATTTTCACTTGTGTTTTAAGATTGCTTTACAATTATTCTCAAATTTTTCAATTTACTTTAATAGATTATTTAGAATATATGTATAAGGTTGTGGTTTATTAAAACCACAAAAGAAACTATATCATTTTTGGATTCCATTACTTCTATCTCATGATGCATGTGTGTCATAACATGGCCAAGAAGAACTCCTCATATAGAAGAGGTATAAAATCTAAAAATTAAAAAGTAGAAAAGAACCATGGAATATTTATTCTTGTGAATAACTTTTTTTAAACATTTCGAATCAATTTTGAATATATCTTTCTGAGTTGTATCAAGTTTTCAAATTTTGTGGAACTCACATATATTTTCGAAGAAAACAGTGAGTGTAAGTTTTAAATCAAGGTTTTGCGGTTCCCCCCCCCCCCCCCCCCCCCAGGCCCTCACCATTACAGACAGTTAGCACTGCAGGCACCCCATTACAGACCTTAGCAACCGGGGTCAAAGATCATGGGGTGCATTTCCTAACAATGATGGACAATAGGAACTGGCTGCTCTCCCATGGTTCGTTAGCAACCATATGGTGCAAAACCATACATTATTGGATATGTTTCCATAGCAGCCAGCTCCCTTATGACAGGCCGTTACAAAAAAATTAATTAATTAGCAAAACACTGAATTAATAATTAATAATTAATAATTTTTTAGCATTTATTAATACTTATTGATATTGTTTAATATTTAATAAAGATTCATTCATATTTATTGATCTTTTCGTGGAACTCACATATATTTTCGAAGAAAATAGTGAGCGTAAGTTTAAATCGAGGTTTTTGCGGCTCTCCCTAGACTCCCTTCATGACAGACAGTTAGCAGTGCAGGCTCCCATTAGAGGCATTAGTAACTTCCCCGAGCCCTAGCAATCGTGGAATGAGGCAGCCAAAAACTATTCCATATATTTTCATAGCTACGAATCGCTAGCAATTGGTTGAGCAAAGCCAAAGTTTATTGGATAGATTTCAAAAGCAGATGAACAAAAGTACTATACTATAATGGTAATCAGATTTTCATACTTATCACGCTTACTATAAAATAATGATGATCGTTTTTCAAAAAAACTGAAGACTCTGTCGTCCGGATTATGTTCTACGCATCCGATATTTCGCGTGTTTCCCTGCCATTTAATCGAAATGACGTATACGAAGTTAAGCGAAATATTACATGTTTTGCTTACAAAGACTGATACAATTTCAAGATTTGATTAATTGAGAGTATTATTTAATAATTAAGTTTCAATACAATCGATGTGAAATTGTATATTATAAGCCAAAGTACAGTATCTATGAAAGAATAATTATCGTGTAATTAACGAAATAATCTCTGTTTGTTATCAAAGATAATAATAAATATGCAAATATCAGTGTAATAAATATAAAAAATAAGATATGAGTTAATTAATTCGTATAATACTAGTGGACAACAAATCTTGTTGATAAGCTGATTATGAAGGTTTATGAAAGTTATTTTAAAATTGATTGGCAAATGTTACATGAAATTTTCCTGTAGAACAAATTCCTTTGATAATTTTAGTTTCATAAGGAAAAATATGCGTGTAAATTTTATATATATACGTGTTAACGCCATATAGAAACTGCTTAATCTATAAATAAAATAGATTTACAACATATGATGTTGTAGTATTTGTAATAAATTTTCAAAAAAGGTACTTCTTTGTTGGCCTGTGTATGTAATGTAGTTTTATTGGAAAAAAAATTAATTATACTGAGGTTTTGATGTTCTTTGAAATAATTATAAAGGTCTTGAACATGCGATGTTTGAGATTATTGATAGAGAAAGCACTAGTAGAAATTAGTAAGTGCAGTTTAAGAAGAAAATAATGTTGAATTAGAAATAAAAGTTAAGTACTATCGATTATGTTCAGATTTTACAAATATATATTAAAAATAGTGGATTATATTTGTATAGATAAGACACTAATGTTCATAATATGAATATATTTTTTTTTCATTACTGATAGTCAATATAATTTATTATGATGGGCAATTTTTACTATCAAGAATATCTATCATGTTGAAAAAAACGATGTAGAATAAGTGTAACGAAAATGGTGATGCAGCTCTACCACTAGTTGGTCATTGATGTTAATGAGCTAGTAGTGCATTCCACTATCGTTATGACAAACGGAGAGGCACATTAAATGTCTTTGATCCCATTGTGGGCAGGATGTTTATTCGACTATGCACTACATCCAAATGTGCCTACATCCAAATGTGCCTACATCCAAATGTGCCTACATCCAAAATGTACCTACATCCAAATGTAATTATCTAATACATAACATGAGCTTATATAGAAGAGGGATGGGAGAGAAGAGAGAGAAAAGAGAATACAATGCCAGAGGAGAAAGGAAATAGGAATGATATAACAGAACATTGCGCAATCGTATCTTTTACATACGAAGGACACGTTTATATACGATGAGGTCAAGGTGAGAACAGACATAGAGGAACAGTATAGTATACGATTGAATGGCGTTACACAATGAGAAGCACATAACAAGGCTAAATCATGAACGTAAGAGCAACACGATCCATGAACACTGTGCATCATAGATTGTACGAGAACACACTAAGAAATACATGATATCACATAAGCTAATATGCCTGTTGGCACAATAAGTTAATGTCTACTCATCGACTTTTGAACAATTATATTAGTTGTCGTTAAAAAAATTATTCATTCAAAATATATTTGATAATAAAAAATATATATTGAAATAACCATTAAAAATGTACATAGTTATGAAATAAATATTTAACTATAGTGCGCGGTTTTTAAATAGAAAGTTGTTATTGTGAAATTCTTCTATTCATTGATTTCATCTATTTGTTTACATAAACCATATTGATATCATTATGAAGCGTTCATTTAATTTAACCAAACAAGAATACAAAAGTTCATCTTTGATCAGTCTTGATGGTTATGTTGTAAATGTTGGTGCAATTACAAAAAATAATAACAATGAGAATCATCATTATTCATTTCTTTTTTCATTAATGGATCAAAGTACTGTACGGATAACAAAGTTTTTATCAAAAGTTCCATCATGTACATTTTATAAACGTTTGCAAGAATCTATGTTTAGTGGAAATGGTACTTGTATTAGTGGTTTGCAAGAAAAAAAATGACCAATATTTATGTGCTAACTCAACAAAACTAATCAACAAGGAATTATCATTTCGACCAGATTGTGTTCGTGTACAGTCCATCGAAAATTTAAGAAATAATATATTTGACGGATTATGCACAATTGAAGTTAAAATATGTGAAATTGGAGCTGATATAGCATGTATATTCAAAGAATCAGATTTTAAAAATGTGCAAAAATTGAAGAAAGTAGCTGTAGTGGATGATGCAACTGGTGCTCTTGAACTTACTTTATGGGAAAGTCATTTTGGTAAAGTTGAATTAGGAAGCTGTTATCAGATTAAACTCGTTAAAAGTCGTTTAATTAATTGTAAAATATTATTGTCAGCAAATGTAGATACATCGTATGAGTTTTTTGTATAGTTATCAAGTTTTAATAGTGTTTTGATAGATTTATGAAGATTGAAGATCTGGAGATTGTTCAAACACATGTTGAATGTTCTATAATGAATTCACGTATTTGTAAAGGACGAATTATACATATATCAAAACATCAGGTAGAATATGCATGTCAGGCATATGGAAACCATGATGTTACACAGCAAACGTACTGTATTGTATGCAATATTTGTCAATCTCGTACACCTAAGTATGATACAGGAAAAGACGAGTTGTTGAAGTTTATGATTACAACGGATAACCGAGAAGAATATAATTTATCGGTGTCTGAAATAATTTCAATACCTATGTTGACATGTATTAATGAATCATATACTAATATTGCTGAATTTGTGAATGAAGAATATTGTACTGATGCATTAACAGATGTAATGATAGAATTCAAATTCGATCAAAATACTGGAATAATTTCTGAATTAACATTTCTTAAAAAAAATGATTTACGTAGTGAAGATATAAACAAATTCAATTATATAAAAAATTTTAATACTTCATGTATATTTAGAAAATGGTCATAATGACCCACAGGAATAAATTATTGAATACTCAAATACCGAAATCTTTATTATAAAATACCATAAAAGAATACTAGTTATAATCCAAAATCGAATCCACAGTTTTTTGAATGCTGGTATTTTTTATTTTGTTTTTGTTTTTTTTATTTTAAATATGAATACATATATCGAAAGAAAAATTAATAATTAACAGATGTTTGCAGTAAAAGTATATGGATCATTCGAAAAAAATAATTAGTAAAAATAACAAGATAATTATTGATTTTTATACACAAAAGTGTTTGTGTTTACTAAGAATTAGTTTTATATATGTATATCTCATGAACCGTAGTATCGTATCTATTTATTATGAGTAAATTTATATATAGTAACATATTGCTAATGAAAAAAAAAAATTTGTTCTATCATTGACTGTCAGAACAATTTTATCAGCTTCACATATTGGTAATGGATGAATTAAGAAAATTATCAAATTAGGTGAAACATTTTCCATTTGTACGATATCAGCACAAACAGGAACATGTACTGAGCAGTTATCTTGATGTAAATATTTAATATAATCATGTATGCGATTCCGTTTAATTGTGTTATGCCTGTAAGGTTTTAAAGAGTCAATAATAAAGAACTAATCCGGTGTACTATCAAATCGTCGAACAGAAAAATAATGGTCATTTTGCTGGATAAAAAGTGCTTAAACATTATGAATGTTATTTATAATAAGACTATGAAGTGGAGATGATGATTCATTATTTTGATTTAAGTGAATCAGTTCAATATTCATTGTTGTTGAAGAGCATTGCGTATGATTTGAATATTATAACCACCGTTAACCATGTCGAAATAGATCTGCCGAAATGTAAGTGCATCTTCGCGAAGCACTAATTCTTGCGTTGCAACCTGTTCTCCTAAGCTAATTAAATATGTGTCATCAAATTATATCTAAGTTTTGTAATAAAGCTCTAAGAGCATGTCGCCCACAAAAATGTTGTTCTTGTTTTTCACAAATAATTATATCTTCTGGAATAACAAATTCATGCATAACATCAAGATAATTGTTGACAACAAAATTATGATTAGTTTTATGACGTTTTCTGCTGGTGTGGGTTAAATTACTTTTGAAATTTTCATTCATGGTTTTTATATCCCTGATAGGCGAATTTGACGGCACATTTCGATTAGTATTGCAAGTCTAGATGTGGATGAAAAAATTTAATATCGATAAAGACAATTTTATTTTAAGCTCACTTTTTCATTTAAATAATCATCAATTTTAACAGGATGTTTCTTCTCTAATTTGTGTATACGTTCAATTTCTTTTAAACCTTCAGTTGAAATCTAAAAAGTTGATTATGCTAAATAAAACACTCTGGTCAATATAATATACTTTAACCCTTTCATGACGGTGGTATAAGGGTTATACCACCTAATTTTCCGTTGGGAAAAATATTTCATTTACACTTAAGTATTAAAACTTATTATACATAGAGATCATGGAGTACACCAACTATCATGTTATACATATCTTTTCTTGATGCTGTATGTATTCTTCTCAGACATTTGTTTTTCTTTCTATGATTGTACAATGACGTCATAGTATTCTTCTCTTCGTCTGATATGTTGTTTTACGAGAATGTTCTATATGACTCACGCTCTCTATTGCGCTTGTATATATATAGCTGTTCTTTGAAAAGAAGTTAAATTACTTCCATATTTCATTTGCCTATTCTATTTATAATTGAAACTTGACCGATGGAATCCTTCGAAAATGTTGAAGTCGATGACGACTCACGTGATTCATTTACCAATGAAGACAGCGATGAGAGTGATTTCGATTTCGACTGTGATGAATTAGTAGATGATCTGAATGAAGTTCAGATCTCAGATAAATATTCGAATGAAGACGAAATGGAGATTGATTCTATGAGCGAAAGTTATATTGGCAATGGCGGTTTTACATCAATTTCTCTCAAGGATATAACGCCAATTTCAGTATTCAGGAGCTTTTTCACGGAAGAAATTTTAAACCTAATTACTGATTAAACAAATATTTACGGAAAACAGAAAAAACGAAGGAATAGTCAAAACGAAACTGATCGCTGAAAGGGTGTGGGGATAAAAGATATTGAATCGTTTCTTAGAATAATTATTGTGATGGCAATCAATGACTTACCGGAAATGGAATTCTATTGGAGTAAAGACAATGTTTTTCATAATAGTTTCATCTCTTTGATCATGTCAAGAGATTGCTTTCTTCAAATCTTTTATAATTTACATATTGCTGATAATTCATTGGAGCCAAAAAAGAAAACTGATCACTACAGTAAAATTTACAAAGTTAAGAATTTCATTGAAATTTTACTCAAAAATTTCCAGAAAAAATATAACTTTGGTCACTATGGTTCAATCGACGAAACTATGGTCAAATTCAAGGGAAGGTCAAGTCTCAAGCAATACGTGCCTTCAAAACCAATAAAGAGAGGCTATAAACTTTGGTGTTTATGCGATTCCACTACTGGTTACTTATTCAACTGTAGAATTTGCCAAGGAAAAGAAGAAACTAGTGAAAAAGAAACACTTTTGGCTGAACGTGTTGTTTTCACTCTTATTGCTGACCATCATTTCGAAGGAAAACATTTGTACTTCGATAATTTTTTTACTTCACTTCCGTTATTAGAGAAGCTAAAGCTGCGGAAAATAAGTACCACGGGAACTATTCGGACCGATCGGGTTGGTATTCCACCACACTTTGCTTTGAAAGAGAAAATGGAACGAGGTGACCACAAGTCAATTGTCATATCCAACACTATTATCTTCAAATGGATGGATACGAAGCATGTCTTTCTAGCGTCAAACGACTGTGAAAACACTGAAATCGTTAGAATCTCTCGACAGTTGAGAAATAAGCAGCTCATTGAAATTAACTGTCCGAAAGCAATAAAGGATTACAACAAGTTTATACATGGAGTTGATCGATTCAATTAAATAATATCCTGCTACACATTTGATCGAAAGTCTAGAAGGAACTGGCTTAGGCTTTTAATTTTCTTCTTTAATGCATCTTTAGCTAATTCATTTATCTGCTACAATCAATTAGGTCAGACTAAATTATTATACTTAAATTATTTGGTTTCCATGGCTGAGTTTCTATGTTCTGGCGCTGAGCGAACAAATCTTGGACGATCTCTTTCAAACAAGAAGCATAAATTAGCATCACCACCATCTGCTGATCAGTTGGACGGTGGGATGCACTTGCCTGTCAAGTGAACCTGGAGGATATGCGCTTATTGTAGCACAAAAGAAGTGCAAGTTCGATCAACCATCGAATGCTCTACTTGCAAACTGGCTTTTTGCGTAACAGGCGACAAAAAATTGTTTCTTTGAATACTATAAAGTTTTTATGGAAAAATTTTGAGTCAGATTCAATAAACTGATAAAAAGAACCAATTTTTGATGAAAAAAAATTCCGTCCTGAAGGGGTTAAAAGATTTCCGTTCATATGCAAGTATAATGATATCGGTGATGTGGCGAGTTCTGCTAAGTATTGTGTAGAACATACCTGGCTTCCAATATCTACCACTAAGATCTACGACTAATTTCAGATACGTCATACATTGAGTCCGATGTATAGTTATGGCATATCCAACTGTAAGAGGTAATAGTAAACGAGACATCATGATATTATTTATATCAGTGAATCGTGTCTCTTGAGGCTTTAATTTATAGCTTTGACCATTGGATAATTCTAAAGATCAAGTTTTAGTGGCAAGGTTTTGTATTACAAGATCCTCCAATTTTACCAATTTCTACATATTTTAGTAATTCTGTATTGATTACATCTGTAAGACCCGAAAATAAGTGATCATATACTACTGGTGTTACGAGGAAGTCGTTCGGATCTTCCCAAATTATTTGTTTTACTATTACATCAGTTCCATTAACAATATAATTTTCTTGATCAATATTACGTCTAATTAAAACACGTACATCTACACAAATTGGTAATCGTTGATACATAGAACCACAATTAGTTTCATCGTTTGACGGTTTCAGATTAGTTTTGCACAGTTTATGGCTTGAATTGCTTGATTTGAAGAAAGGTGTATTGCTCATAGCTACTCTCTATGAAAGATTTGTATTCTTCATGTACAACTATGTGATAGAGAAATCAGTTCTTACATCTAAAACATTAATCATAAAAATAGGATTAGTTTTTGTATATTTCGTAAATTTGTAAGCTTTCAAAATCCATAGGCATAAATAGCATCTTCGAACTCTGGTGAGCTTAATTCTCGTAATCGTTCTTTATAGCCTTCCGGATTATCTTCCGGTAGTATACTTCTTGATTTAATTAAGTCTTCGGTCTCGTTGTTCAAAATACTTAATGTAATATGTTTTAATGCAGTATAATGATTCAATATTTCATAGTACATACCCATTCGCATTCGACATAAATAGTTAAAAAAGATTCAATCATCTCCTGGTCTCATATTAATATCAAAATTTATAGGTCGAAATAAATCATGCCACAGAGAAAATAATTCGTCTGGTGGTCGATAGAATATTTGTTTAGCAGCAATCGGTTCAATCTGTGCCATATCACCGAATGCAATGACGGGAATGCCACCGAAATAAGTATCGGATTTATCTGATGTATGGAATATTTCATTAAGTCGTTTATTAATTTTCTGAAATAACCCATGAGAAACAACTGATATTTCATCTATTATTATCAATAACAATCCATTTAATTGGTTTCTTAATGTGTAAAGTTTAAAAGAATTTATTTTGCTTGGTGATGAACTCCTATCGGGACACTAAAAACAAATACTGACCTTTACAAAACTGATACGTATATATATTTACGATTTCAAGAGCGGAGTGTATAGTAGATCCATAAAATATTTAATGCTGATTTTTCCGTATGAGCCATTTTCAACAAGCCGAAATTTTTTCGAGCATGTGAAACTGTAGCCGATTCTGAAATACAGTATTCGCTCAACATTTTTTCAATTATAGAAATAACATAAGATTTATCAGATCCATCTAGTCCATTAACAACAATATGGAATGGTTTTGGTTTTGCTACTCGTATCGGACGTCTAGAATGCTTTAATAAGTGATCTAGATAAAGTTGAATAAAGTCAACAAGATATTTTTGTTGATGATTTGCTGTATTTCGTAATTCGTTTAATGGTTGGGATGATATAGGTGCATTATCATTGATATTCTTGAACAATGCCTCTTCATTAGTTGTTAATGATTGTTTCTGACTAATATTCGACAATAAATATAGATTTGTATCATCATTTTCAATGTCTGTTGGACTTGTAAATATATAAGATTCTCGATGGTTAATTTTATAATTTTCTTGATCTACACTAACAAGGCGATTTAAAAGATTCTGTAAGTGAATTCGATAAGTTGAAGGAAGTATTGCAATACGAATATATATTTCTGTTTTATATCGTATAAGTGTTTGATGTAGATGATGTAAATCTTGTTCTACAATACAAATTTGTAGATGTATTTGTGAATTCAAGCAAATTTCCCGTACCTTCTTTACCACCAAGAAATTCAACTATTGAATCGTGATGAGGAATATTTAAACATAATATAGTATAAATTGATTGTGCAGTATCATCATGAAGACAAGTAAATGTTACACATTTAGGGTTTTCATATTGACACATTGCTCTATCAGATTTCAGTAAAATACGTGGTAAACTGTTAGATCATGCACATAGAATGATGATCTAAGACGAAAAAGAAAATAACATCGTCTCTTCTAGTCTAACTGGCTTAGGACATCTGCCCGGATAGTAGAAGGTATGGGTTCGAGTCCCACGAGGAGCGCATCTTTTTCGTTCTGTCATTGTATCATCTCCTCCTTTCGACCGTATATGTAACTGGGGACCTGACCGGTGAAGGAGTAGACAGCATCTCTCGGCGTGTACACAAGTGGAGCATCGAGGGCGATGCTCACTTGAACGGGAGAGGTGTTAGATCATGCACATAGAATGATGATCTAAGACGAAAAAGAAAATAATATCGTCTCTTCTAGTCTAACTGGCTTAGGACATCTGCCCGGATAGCAGAAGGTATGGGTTCGAGTCCCACGAGGAGCGCATCTTTTTCGTTCTGTCATTGTATCATCTCCTCCTTTCGACCGTATATGTAACTTAAACGTCTTGAAACCTTCAACAGTGGCGGTTGATCATAATTTGTTCGCCACAATGGATTAGGTAATAGTTCATCATCGTCTTGATATTCGTTAGTTAATTGATTATAGTCGACTGTGAACCAAGTTGCGAACTCAAATAGTTTAAGATCATTAATAACATCGGGTATTGATGGTCTTTGTGAATATCGATGAATTATAGTTTTGACAAAGTCATCTTCCGTAAGAGAGTCTGTATTTACGTTTACATTTTTAAGTAGACGAACTTCATGAGATGGTAAACTGATATATATATATATATATGAATAGTACCCATTGAACATTTATATAATGGTATATCTATTTTTTTACTAGAATACAAATGAT